CCCCACCCCCCTTCCCTTAATATGGCATTCAAAATCTTGAAAGGACTAAATCCATCGTGTCTTTAAGTAACTCTCCACTACCTTCATGCTTATAGTTATTGTGGCAGTAACGYCCATGTGTAGGTCTTCGAATCATAGGACAAATCTTTAAGTGCACCATATCCTGTTTAGGCGCGCGAAATAATTTTCCTTCCTCCGTAAAAATCAGCATGCGAGTTGAGAATTGTGCGCGTATAGTATTAGTATGTTTGAGAAAGTGATACAAATAGGAAACCAGTGTGAATCTGATTTTTCCCACCCAATATAAAAAAGCATTATTTTTGATACACAGGACACTGAGAAGTTGTTAGAGCAACTAGCACGCGACCAGAAAGCAGTCGACCAGGTGCACAGTGTAGTACAAGAAGAAGAGGAATTCATGAACAATGAAGCGAAAAGAATCCAAACCATCGCAGACGAGGCGCAGAGAGACCTCGAAAGCGTCATCCCAGAACTAGAGCACGCCATTRCAGCACTTGACGCGCTGGATAAATCAGATATATCAGAGATWCGCGTCTATACTAAGCCACCTGCTATGGTTATGACTGTATTGTCTGCTGTGTGTRTATTACTGCAGCAGAAACCTGACTGGAACACTGCTAAACTCTTGCTGGCTGATCCAGGGTTCCTTAAGAATCTTGTGACGTACGATAAGCATAGTGTTCCTGATAAGGTAGGTAACAGCAGCAACAACAACAGTCTCTTTATCTTTTATTTATAGRATATTATAAAATATTTGAGATATAACRCRCGCGCTGATTGACTRGCTATCGTGTTTATATCAGGGGACASAGACACTCTCGCGCAAAATCGTAACATCTTGGAACATTTTAAGATGTTGTTTGGTAGGGTTTTATWATGATTTTGGTCGTATATTCCTTACCGGATTAAGACTCAAAATAACTGAAGGAAGGATGCTGCCTTTTGTAAAACGCTTGGATATTCGTCACAAATAACAATAYATTATCTATTTTTATTGTATTTAGGTATTCGTTCGCCTCAAAAAGTACACTCACAATCCTAACTTCAACCCTGAAACTGTCGGTAAGATTTCTGTTGCMTGTAAGTCAATGTGCCAATGGGTCTTGGCTCTGGAAAACTATTCTGAGGTGAGCCAGCTTACTGACCTACATTAGGGTTTTTGAAACAACAACGAAGGCGTAGCTCAGTCGGTTAGTGCGCGGCCTTCAGGACTCGGTTGTACGAAGGGTGGATAGCGCTATTCGCCAGATAAATCTCATCCAGTGGACCTCCACGTAATACAATATAGTTGCTTAACCTTTATTTTCAAACAGTTCCACTCGTTGGCATCATTATTGTTGTCTGTACGTACTCGTATATCTTATGGCTATTAGCCAACAGAAAGCAATGAATCTTATTGTTATTACTCACTCTTGTGAAAGGTTTACAAAATGGTACAGCCAAAGCAAAGCCGATGTGAAGAGGCCCAGACAGCGCTTGCCATGGCTAAAGAAAACCTGCGACAAAAACAAGAAAGTTTGRTTACCATCCAAGAACAGCTGGAAATTCTACAGAGTCAATACGACGAGTCTGTAAGGCAGCAAGAGGAACTGAAGGTCAAGAAAGATCTGACTATTGCTAGACTTCAGCGAGCATCGGTGTTGACAACCGCCTTAGCTGAAGAACAGGTGCAGTAGACCTTTTT